CGAGTAATGAGTGAAAGGACATTAATCATGTTGTGCAGCAAGCATAGTCAGGTGGAGGATGGGCTGCACATGTGATTGTGTCACTGTTTTTCTTCTCTCTAGTTTGTTTTAGAGTGAGGGCCGTATTTTAAAACTGATTCTTTTTTCCTTGGTTTTGTCTTTATGTCAGCTGGACCTGCTGCAATATTAATTAAGAAATGTCCAAACACCTCACAGCAATGTGCCACCAATTATTTCCTTAGGAAAGCACTTAGTGGATGTAATAAGTGTCCCCATGGGATCGCATTTATTTAGAGTGGATCTGGTTAAAGAAAAGCACCCATAATTTTTCTGCTAGCTAGATTGAGTTATCAGGTGATGCTACATTGCTGGCAGGTTGCACCATTAAAAGTACTCTGTGAATCGTTAGTGGCCTTTCACTGTGATAGTCACATTTTACTGCAAATCCTTTTTAGTCATAAAATTGTATAAAGGTTTGGTGATACTGACCTCTTATCCTGTTTATTCTGGACTCGTCCCTGCATGATATTCTGACTGGAAGTTTGTATGACAAGGTTCAGAGACGGTCTTTAATCCTCCACAGTCTACTTGCCATATCTTGTCTACACCATTCCCTCAAATTGTTTTGTTTTTTTCAACCACAAACATTTGTGGCCACATTTATTCATTGGGTAAGTCCATGTGGCCAAATAAAATGGTAAGGGCATGTGCAATGCTAACAAGGTTGTAAAGCACTTCCACACCTTTGATGATGACTCCAACACTGTCCAGGTTATCTATGGTTTCTTCATGTTCATGTTTCATGGCCAAGATGGCCAGGATTAAATTCATTAAAGGCTTGCCTAATTTGTTTGAAGATGAACGTTTGTTTCCCTCGCATCAGGATCATTTTGGTTTTTTGGGCAATGTCATTTGTCAAACTTAATTCAACCAAAGGTGGTCTGTATTTTTACACATTACAGACACCATAAAAACATTAGTGTCATGATGCTCACTCGTTTTGTGTTTTTGCAAGGTAAACACAGCAAAACCATCAGGATGAACAGTACTTACGTGCTGTTATTCAAAACCTCCACGTTTAATAACAGATTAATACGTTAGCTTGTTAAATATTTCCTGGACTCCAACATTTCTTCTTGGAGAGTTTTGAAGACACCACCAAAGAACCGCATGGCTATTTATTGATAGACCTCACACCAACCTGCCCAGAGTGGGGATATTGCCTGAAAAGCAGCTTTGTCTTTTTATTTTACGAGGAAAAGTAACCAAAGAAACCAAGAAAATAACCATTACTTTTTCCAAAGACACTGATAGAAGAAGTTTGGACTCTGGATTAGAGCCTGGTACTGACAGTTTTTGATGATGTCTTTTTTTTTTTATCTGTCTGCTCATCCCTGGTCATCCCTTGACTATGTTTTTTATTGATCTGGTAAAAGCCTGCCTTGCTGCTCTTCTCATTGGCAGGGATTAAGGCCACCTGCTCTTTGAATTACTTTATTAGTGCTTCAGGGAGGAGCCCGAGCTCGCTGATTTAACTCAGGAGGCTATTTCCAATACATATATGTCAAGCAGCGAAGAACCTCTGGTTTCTCACTTTCTGAACTATGGCTTCAGGTGACAGGGTGTCATAGCCCCCCAACAGCTGCTACTCAATGATCAGCTGCAGAATAAGTTATCAGTTTTCTCACTGGTTGAGTTTGAGGTGAGGGCCATCCTTACTCACTATTGATGCTTTAAGGAGGAGCTCCAGGTCGCGGCTTGAACCCTCAGGGCTTCTTATTAGCTGCTGAGTCTAAGTTTCACTTTGATTGTGATCTAATTTTGCATTAAAAAACAAATAAAATTTATTATGCAGTTCCAATGGGCTATAAATGATCTGGCTTTCACCTTCACTACTCCTCTATGTTGTTATAAAGCCTTACCTATGTAATATTGTTTACACACACACACACACACACACACACACACACACACACACACACACACACACACACAAGCAGTTATGAAAATAATGTGTGCCCAAAACTTCCTCTTAAAAGGGAGTTTTTCCTTCCCACTATGATCCCCTATGCTTGCTCATAGGGGATCATATGATTTTTGGGGTTTTCTCTGTATCTATTATTGTAGGATCTACTGTACAATATAAAGCGCCTTGAGGCAACTGTTGTTGTGATTTGGCGCTATATAAATAAAATTGAATTTAATTAAATGTGATAAAATTTATAATTGTCATAGATTTTATTACCTCCCATAGCAAATCACTTGATAGGTGCCGGTCATAAATGACCTTTTTGACAAAGATTTACATCACATCTCTCTTTTTTTTCATGCTTTCCCAGACGTCTCCAGTAGATACATGCCAACTCTCCCAATTTTTCCGGGGGAATCCCGAATTTCAGTGCTCCTCCCAAAAATCTCCCGGAGCCACCATTCTCCCGAATTTCTCCCGATTTTCCACTCGGACAACAAAATTGAAAAACCATATAGCAGAATTCATAGCGCGGCCCAGCCAGTTCCAGTTTCCAACAATGGCGGCAGCTACTTAGTTTTAATATTACTCTTATTACTCTTTCTGGGTTGCAAAATAAAATTTTATTATATTTTCAGGCAGGGCCATTTTTAGCCCAAAATGAATCAAAGCACCCCCAAAGATTTCTTACTTTTTTGACAACATTTGCTGTTTTTGTGACACACTACCGAAAATATAAAAACCATACAGTACTTGGTTGAGACGTAATAGTTTAACAACAAAAGTATAAATACCCCCCCTCCCCGAATGGTTCGTTCCAGCTCTCCTCTCCTCTACTCTGGCTCTAGCACCCTTTCTGCCAGAGCGATGGTGGCTGAGTGCCTGGCTTAAAACAGGGCATGTCAGCTGCATTTAACCTTCAGTTACTCTTTATATAGTCAGGTAGGAGTCAGACCATGTTTCTTTTTAGCTGAAAAACATTACACCACGGTAACCTGAGAGTGTTGAAAACGTGTTTTCCAACAATGTTTGCTACACTACAATCCGTCCTACTCTGTAGTAAAATCAGCGACATTTGACTGTCCTATTGCTCCCATCGAAATTTATATAGTCTCTTTAAAATCGACAACTTAAAATTGTCCGTAGCCTGCTGTTGTTACCACTGTCCTGTTTGAAATGGAATGAGAGAAACTGGTTATTTTGTCATATGTGCATGTGCTGATATTAAACCCAAGGTACTAACTAGCTAACTGACTGGATGCTAGTGATGTGTGATACCACTGATTTCCTTGATATCGATATTTCAGTATCGATCCGCACATCACTACTGGATGCCCATAATGGATATAAGGAAGTTTTTTGAAAAAAAGGAGCCACAGTCAGGTAAAAGTGTAAGAACAAATGATCCGTCAATCAAAAATAATGTTGGAGCAGTGTTTCAATATTTATATCTTTTATTAGATGTACATGTGGTTTGGCTATTTTCCTTTTGGTTGAAAGTACACTGAGAGAGGACTTTTTTTTATTAGTGATCTTAATAATATATTTTTTTCATATTAATGTAATTTTTTCATCTAATTCAATACAGTCTATTTGTGTATGATTGTCAGTTCAAAGAGGGAGAGAGGAAAGAGGTGAAGGTGAGGAGAAAGTGCAAGGTCAGCAAGAACCAGGTAAGAAAACAGACAGGGATACCTGGCTGAGAAGGACCATGGGTCAAAGCAAACTCCAGCACCTGGCTGTGATGTCAGTTGAGAAAGAGATGTTTGAGAGAGTTGACCACCAAAAAATGATAGACAGATCTGCCAACCTCACGGTGAGGTGACGTAGGTTAAAATAAAAGAAAAAAACCTGCAGAGACATAGTAGTATCTGCAGGATGGGATATGATAGGATATGTATTTATTTTTTATTCCAATCTATTCTTCTTTTGTAGTAGTAGTCTTTTGCAGCATTTAAATAACCTTTATCAGATTTGATGGTTTTGGTTATGATGACTGATAATGGAGACGAAGACCAGAGACAATGAGGACAGGGAGGAACAGGGGTTTAAATGCACCGAGGAGACAGAGAGAACTCGGGACAACTGGAGACATTTAAGGATGCAGGGACTAACATAGACAGGGACGAAGTCTCATCGTGACAAGTGAAGTTTATCTTGCCTGACTGCGCAGCTCTCTGGGTGCTCAGCACTTTGATAACTTAAAAATGTTATTGTTTGGCTTTTTTCAGTGTTTTATTTGTTTGTGAGTGAATCGGTTTGGCTGAGATTAAAGTTATTAGATTAGATCGTCCAATTTCACAGTCGCTCACTTCCGGCCTACCTGGCTTTCGGAGGACCTGGCCCACTTAGACCGCAAAGGCCTCAGGAGGATGCAGCCTCTGAATTTGAATTTGGACACCCCC